TAGGCTGAGTGTTGGAGCTTAATGGACAAAGCAGTGTTTTGTGCTAATGAAGGTATCCCTACAGAGCTTATATCCTCAGCGTCTCAACTTAAATAAAATAAACAATCAGTAAAGTTCTACTTAAAATACTTTAACTCTGGAAGATTTAGATTGAAGTGAATTTTATTCTATCAATATTACATTGGCAACAAGGAAGGTATCTGATGAAACGTAATGTAGAAGGAAGGAAGGTTAAAAAAAAACTGCTCTCCCTGCAGAAGCAGCGCTGAGATTGCAGGGGGGAATAAATTCCTTACCTTAGCACAAAACCGGGTGCCGCAGGTCAAAGACAAAGCTCTAATCTGGAGTCCATCGGTGCTTAATTGTGTTGGCCACCTCTTGCTCCCTTGCATGATCTAATCACATCACAAGTGGCACATGTAACTGACTAGTCATGTCTTTATTTACCTTAAGCCACATTTTCAAATGCAGCAGCCTATACAGATTATTGCTCACCCACTCCTTCATATTCTTCTTTACTGGTATTCAGTGATGCTTTTTTCTGGTTGGCGGACTGGGCATCGAAATCAAGAATTGAAGATTTTAAATTTAAACAATTCCAGGAGAATTGAAAGGTTAGAACTGGTTCCAATCGATTCTTGATGCCCAACGGTACTCATCTCTCCATATTTGCACTGACTACATGATGAAGATTTGGTTACTAGGTTGCTTCTTTATGTCTACATTTTAAAGAGTAGCTTTTAATTTTAATTCAGCTAAGTTGATTTAAATAGCGTCAATTCGTCAAGGCATTTTTAACAGACAATTCAATCAGATTATACAGACCGTTTGCTCTCTGTATGATCAAGCTGATTGCATCCAGTTATTGACTTTGTAGGTTGCTCTGCTCCTGGATGAGTATGTGATAACAGTACACATTTGCTTGCATGCTGTCATCGATGTTTCAGAAATCTCTCCCAACTTTTAGAGAAACAAAAAAGGATTTAAGGCCCAGAGAAAGCGGGGCACGCTGATTGACGTGTGATGGAAAAACCAAACGTACTACAGAAATTAACAATTTCTATTTTTGTGGGACATTATTTACCTAACTGGATTTCTTATAATGGTATTCTTTCCAAATTGAACAAATATACTTAAAGTAAGATTGGATTTCTTTTAAAACCAGTGAGAGATTATCCTGCAGCAGCAAAAAAGAGGAATATGTTTAAAGATTGTTGGGTGATTTGGACTTTTTTTACCAATGCCAATAAATAATAATTATGTCAAGTGCGTTGTTTTTCTGACTAGACATTATAACATCATAAATATGCTTCAGCACTTAGAGATGCTTTGAGTTGATAGTGTCTGTTTGTTTCCTTACATGTTTTTGGCAAATCAAAGTAAACAATAATCTGAACACTCAGCTTTGCCCTGGAGCAAAAAGCCCAATTGAGAATGGTTTAAACTGGCTTACAGGAACTTGCATCACTTCCATTTTTCTTTGTTTGGTTTAATACACGCAAAATGTTTGTGTCATGTGTAAGCAAATGGATTTGCTTTTATCTGAAAGGGGAAAACATATCCATTGATTTTTAGTGATTGGCCTCTTTACACCCACAGATCCCATCTATGCAAACCCTAGCAATCAGTGTTTTTGAGAAAGGAAGGGAAAGACATTTTCTATTCCTGAAATGCTTCCATATCCCGTCTCCACCCCCCCGCCACACACACACCCCCACCCCAACTGATTGCACACACTTCATGATGAGGAAAAACAGCATTACCGCTCATTTCCAGGCGTGTTGTTTTTCCTCCCACACATTACGTCATGGTCAGTCCAGCCCTTACCAGGTTTTTAACATCTGTGGCAGCACCAGATGTTGCTGTCCTCTAACTCTCTGCTCAGCAGCTGAGCGCTGCTGTAGAAAGGTCACTGCCAAGATGCAGGAGACGCTACTGCAATATGTCGGCACTTAACCTCGGAGCCATTTGTGTTTAAAATGGGTCCTTTAAAACATATAAGATTAACTGAAAGCTTAAGCATTTTTTTAAATGTCAATTTTAGATGTTGTCACTAAAACCATCAGATATTTTCTCACATATGTTAAAAAACGTATTTGATTCCAATACATTGATCTGACCAAAAGTAGATGGTACTTTTTTCAGGTGTGTTCAATTTAGATTAGTCTCTATTTTTACTTTTTTGCTCTTTAACAGAAAATTCTGAAAAGGTGAAGTATTTATATTTTTGCCTCCTATCACCCCTTAAACAGCCTGCTGGACTGTCCTAGCAAGAATATTAACAGGCAGGTGTTGTTTTCTTTTCTGATCTAATGGGTGATATGACTCAAGGCTGCATTTGAGCAGCCTTATAAGAGAGCTAGACCAAAGATTGTGGCCAGATTATGTTCGTATTGCTCATCATTGATTTCTAATTGAATGTATTTATGGTAAAAACTGAGCCTTGTGCTAGTAAGTAAGCCTAGTAAGTTCTTTCTTTTTCATATAGATAATGTATGTACACCTGTAATTGTGTTTATAGTCAGTCTGTGGTTGGTTCGTTATTTTAAAAATCTCTGCTGCTGGGTACTGAGGGAAAACTGAGCCTGATACCAGCATAAACGAGAATTTTACTTGAACAGTCTCACTGTTTGGTGTGATTTTGGGGGTGTATTGCGAGAGCCGGTTAACGTGCCACTGTGTGGAGGTGTGTGACTGCACTTGAATACATATTGGTTTCGATGTGAGAGTGTGTGGGTACGTAAATGTTTGCCGAGCTTCTACCCACCCTCCCTCTCTGCCACCACCACCACCTCACTCCAGGCAGTTCTGGCAAACGGAAGAATCCGTGCTGCAGAATAGAGGAGTGCTTTTGCAGGACGCCAGCCACGTTCTGGCTCCAGGGACCTGAGCTGCTCTCTATCTCCTGACTGGCAGGCTGCTGCTGAGCTTTGCAGCTGCATGCATGTGTGCCATTCCTGCTCAGTGCAGTGAGACATGCTGATAACCACAGCAACAGAGGCGGGTGGTGGGGGGCTGAATGGAAAGCAACATCACCATGCATGATGGTGTGGGAGGGCAATGTGTGTGGTGACTAAATAATAAATGTGACGTATTGGGTTTTCTGTGAACAGAGGCCTTCCTACTCTGCTGAGGGCAGTGATGTACAGATTTCACTCATGCTGCTGCTAATCAAGGGTCAAACTCTGAAACTGAACCAAAATTGAGTTTATTACCCATTCTATCAGCTGATCGACATGGATGTTTTATGCCACCAAACTATAAAGATTATTATTATTTTTTTAATAATTTTAAAGATGAAAACCCAATCTTAATTCCCTTTGTATTTAAAAAAATCAGTGATGTGACATGTAAACTTTTGTAATCCAAGGTGAGAGACTGAGTAGGACCATCTCTGTCTTAAACAACTCTAGATTCTAAATGATGTATTAATACAAACAGACATTTTTGAAATTTGATGTAAAAGTTTATAGTCGTCCAGTTGTGACATTTGTAATTTATTACAAATGTGATATAGTAGAAAACTACCATATCCTTAGTAAATCTTAGTTATGTTCTGATTGGAAGGTTTTAATAGCTCTAAAAGTCTCCATAATAACAATCTTTCTGATGCCACTGATGAACACACTGCATGGTAAAAAAGTAAGGTAAGAAAAGAAACAGTATGCTTATTAGGGCTGAAAAAAACGTATCGGATTATTCATGATTAATCGATTATTGAAATAATCATTAACTAATTTAGTAATCGATTACTGGAGTATAGAACTGGAGTATAGGGACTCTAAAAAATTGCATTTAAGATTAAAAAAAATCTTTTCATCTGTCAATATGCTCTATCCAGAACTACTCAAGTGGAACATTTTTAGTTTCAGCTGATTTAATTCTGTAAAAAATCTTCTTTGAGGAACCTTTTGCTATCCGATTATTAAGTGATGAATCTAAAGATATAATAGACAGATTAATCGATTTGCAAAATAATCGTTGCAGCCCTAATGTATATTCAAATTAGAAGTTATGGTCAATTATAGATTTCAGATTTTTGTAAAGCGTAAGCTTTAAGCCTATTTTTTGTGTGTATGGATAATGTCCAGTAACACTGTTGTTACTGTCTATATTTCTGCAAGGTGTTGTTGTATTTTTCTGTGGATATTTTTAGTGATAAGCAGATTTACAAGTAGTAAAATTGTGTATTCCCTTAACAAATTTAAATAAATATATGTAATCCTTGATTTAAAAAAACTGATATTCCCAATCCGGCATATTCTTATAAATGTTCACCAAAGATCTTATATTAGGCCTCTCGTTATCTGCTAAAACTCTTGCTCTCTGTCTTACTAGGCAGCCGTAATTTGCATTAGATTAACAAAGATGAAATACAGAATTCTTCTCTCTAAACATTTTTTCTTTACCTGTATTGACTTTTTTATTTTTTATTTGTAGTACATATATTTTAATGAAAATCATAATACTTCATAGTTTTGTATGCTTTAAACATAACAGAGTGTTTCTTTGTGTTCTTTTATTGCTTAGTTTTTGAGGAAAAAAAAGATTGGAGTTTTTCACTGTTTAAATATGTATAAGTGCAAGTATTATTGTGTGAATGTATTTTAAAGAATTCCCTAAGCTATCTATATTGCTGTCTATATTTCTACAAGGTGTTTTAAATTGTAGTCTGTTCCTATTTTGGAAATTTTCTATGGGGGGATGTTTGTTTTTGTAAATTGACGGCTAACAGATAATGAAAATTAATTGGATTTTTTTTTCCTCAAGAAAAGTTTCTCCAGTAAACAGTGTTGTTACAAAGATCTGGCAGATATGATACATTTAGAGAACATCGTGCATGCATGATGTGGAAATTTTTAAGCAGCTTTTTATTTTATCTTAGGTTAACATTTGTAAAAAGACTCATATGCAATCATTGCTATTCATTAACGATCTCTTCTTTTGTCTTTTTTTTTCCACCTCCCCTCATCTCCCTTGTTGTCTGTTGTTTCTCCAAGAAGGTGATGCTTCCTACTGGAGCAGCGTTCCGGTGGTTCCAGTAGGACTCGTCCTTACCCAAAGCTCTGCCATCAAGTGCAATGCCAACTCCTGGATTGTCTCCGGAACAGACACTGGTTGATAAACAAACTAGCAACAATAAAATTATATAAAAAAAATAACAAGAACAAAGCAGAAAACAAAAAAAAACAACAACATCGGATTATGGATGCACCTACTTATTCCTTGAACCAAAAATGAAGCATAAAAGAAAAACATCTATGGCAACTTTTCATTCCTTTTTTCTTTGTTTTCATTTTTACTTACCTTTTTGTCCTTTTTTTCCCCCCCGGCTGGATTTTTTTTGTTTGTTTGTTTTCTATCGCTTGAACGCGGAACCGCTCATTGCCAGAAACAGAAATCTTGGACAGATGGTGGACAATCAACTAATTTCTGTGTTTGGTGTTAATGTTGTTCATGTGTGAAAAGATTTGGTACTTGTGTAGAGAATGTAAATTTACAGCTATATTCTAAAAGTTAGCGGCTAATGGCAAACATCGTAACTCTTCACTGTTATGTTACCTAAACCATTGTCTAGTTTATGCTTAAGTTGGTTGAAGATGGATGGAGAAAGTGATTCTAAATGTGAGGCTGTCAAGTTGAAAATGAAAGTGGATGTTATTGCTGGGCAAAGCACCTAAGTTGAAGTCATCACTACTGTAATCTCCTTAATAAGTCCTTCTTTTCATTTTCAGACTTTTCCTCTCTTGTGAAACTGGCAGCCTTATGTTACTGTGGCCCTACTGAGCATGTGCCAGTACTGTTCAGGGCAATAGCACCAAGAGACAGCACTTGCTCTGAGTTTACCCTACTGAACGCACTGAGTAAAGATTGCATTTCTTTTTTTTTTTTTATTCTTAAATTGTTGATTTATTTGTTAAAATTTCCTGAGGTTTTTTCTTTAAGTTGCTAAGTAGCTGCAGCTTTTGAAAAACAAAAAAACATCTCGATCTTTGTATTTGTTTAGAAAATTGGACTTGTTTTGTGAATAAAAAGGAATGCATGTATTTGTGTCAAAATTTACATTTTCAATGTTTTGTCTGATTGTCTATTTGCATGTTTTTTTAAAAGCGGTTTTGAGTAAGAAAATGAAATTTTTCACAGGTTATGAGAAATGTTTCTTTTTTTTTTATTGGATGGCATGAAAAGAAGAAAATAAATTCTTACCCTCAGAAAACTCTTAAAAAGCAAAAGAAAGATGGTGGTAACATGGATCCCCACCATGTCCATTCTTGCTGCCTGTGTAATCTTCCTACACTGGAATGATGGAGCCTTGCTGTGCTAAAATGTAACCAAAGTGATTTAAAAGATGTTTGAATAAGAACAAGTTTGATTGCCGTGTTTCTTCAGAGTGCATGAAAACCCTGTGAAAATCCTCCTAAATCTCGTTTATTGTCAATGATTTTTCCTTTCCTTTCGAGGTCTTTGTGACACTCGCTCCGCTCACTGACATTTATAGTCAGAAAGCACGAGTTGAAATGCAGGAGATCGATGGCAGTCATGGATTACCGAAGTGAAGCTGAGGAAGCCTGGATAAAAGTGTTTGGAGCTGGATGCCTATCGAAGTTCCAGTGAAAACAAGGCTGATGGAAAATATTATTTTTTTTACACAACATAGTAAAATATATTCTAAATGTTTATTTTATATCACTTCAAACTAATTAAAACTTGAAATTCAGACAAAGACATGTTTTACCCTTTGGATGCAATTGTGAAGGATGCTGATATGACCTGACAGTTCAACAGTCATTGACACTCTCTATTAGGATGATGAGCAGCACAGATCTATTGCTAAAAATGCTAACAGAGCTCTGTATCTAAGCATAAGTAAAATTAAGCAGACAGAGAAGCCTTGATATGATTGCGGAGAGTTTGTGTCTGGAGTGGAAAACCTGGGCTATGGAAAGGAAAAATCTCTTTTTTTAGACCACCTAATGCTTTTCCCTATTTATAAGGTTGATGTTAGTCCAATACAATCTTTTTTATTCAATTAAAGTGTTTATAATATTCCAATAGGAGAATAGTTATTGATGTAACATTTGGTGGGTCATAACATTTAAAGTGACATGCATTACAATTCTGCTTGCCAGTAATATATAAAGATTACTTGATAGTAAGATTACTAATAGACTTTAACAATTTTTTTTTTCCTACTGCTTTTATCGCAGCGGTTTACAACAATATACCGAACTTATGTTTTCAGAATGTTCTGCAGGCGCCTATTTATTGACATACTTTTATTTTAATCAGCATGACTTGGCAACCTCTACTTAGTGTCAAAAATAGCTATTAATGCACACTGGTTTTACTATTCTAGATTAGAAAGTGAAGTGGCCTGATCTAAACCCTGGGAATATATGGATTAAGTCAAGCAGAAGATAAGGTTCTCCGGCCCCAACAATGCAAACCAGCTAAGGGCCTATATTAAAGGATCCTTAGCTAGGCAAGGCAAATTTATTTATATAGCACAATTCAATACAAAGACAATGCAAAGTGATTTACATGATTAAAATATAGGAAAATAAAACAGAATCAAAGCAAGTAGGAAAAAAAATAAAATAAAAAAATGCAGAAACAAAAAAGAGTATAAAAAAAGAGTTGGACTAAAGAAAATAAAAAAAGTTTAACTAATGATGTTTCAGTCGAACTGTTTAACTAGAACAGTCGAAGGCAATCCTAAACAAATGTGTTTTTAGTCTTGATTTAAAGGAACTCAGGTTTTCTGCACTTTTACAGTTTTCTGGAAGTTTGTTCCAGATAAGTGGAGCATAGGAACTAAATGCTGCTTCTTCATGTTTAGCTGACTTACCACCTCAGTAAATCCACAGTCTGATCGCCTCCATCATTCACTATTGATGCAATAATTCAAACAACAAGGGGTGCCAACCAAGAATGAGGCGTATTTATTGATGGACATGTTGGCCAGTAGGCTGACTACTACTACTATTAAAGATCCCTCATTGGTCTTATGTGATGTTTTAAATTTATTAGAACTTATTTATTTTGGTCAGTCTACTTCCACCTTTAATGTGAATCTGATTTAATTAATTGAATAAATAAACTTTTTGACTATACTTTAAAACTTGGTTAAATTCATATGGGTTTTCAGCAAAAAGACTCCCTTTCCATCTACTGAAAAGTGTTGACTGTCTGTCTTGTTTTAAAAGCCGCTTCCTTCCATCCAGGTGGGGAAGTGGATGCGGATTTTCTTCCACAGCCAAAAGTGTGGTTTTAATTAGCGACTGTCCACAGCGGAAGGCCCAGCGTGACGCGTTTGTGTACGAGCTTGTGATCAGCTTTGTAAGAAGAGAGCTGGAGAGTGGAGCTATATCCCAAATCCCCCCCAACACACACACACACACTCCCCTCCACCCCCCTCCCCCCTAGGTGACAGCACTGGGCTAGTGCCATCGCCATGGCAATGGGGGGAGTGTGTGCGTGATGGGGTGAATGTGTGTGTGTGTGTTTCTGGGGGTGGTGGCTGAGGCCTTTCATTATTAATGTGCACCGCGGCGTCCTTACCTCCTCCGAGCCGCGCTGCTCACCACCTGACCTGCCATCCAAGTGAGAGGAAAAGAGGGGGGGAGGGGGGGGGGGGTGAAGAGGCAGAGATAGAGAAAGAGAAGTGAGCCAGAGAGAAAGAAAGAGACAGCACACCTAGAGTAAGAGTTAAATGAGTGTGTGATAGTAATACACGGATTCAGTTCTGTGCCCTTATTAAACGCCACAAGTATCTCAGATTAAGATCCTCACCTTAAGAGATTTGGGGTAGGTTTGCAGGTGTTTGAGGCCTCCTGCTTGCTGAGGAGAAGGACCCTGGGAGAAGTGGAGGTGGTGGGCGGAGCTGTGTGTGTGTTTGGGGGGGTTAGTCAGGGAGGGTCATGTGGTGGGTGTACGGCTCATGAGCTGGCCTGTCACACTGGGAAAATCCTGGAATCTTATCACCGGCTCGCAGACACTGAGCCTCACTGATCTACTCACCCTCGTTGCCAGCAGACATGCCCTTCCCCCCCTTTTGCAAATGCCCCTGCACAGGCTGGCCCCTTCGCAGTTCCGACACCACCTTCTCCACAAGCAGGGAGATAGCAGAACTGATGCAGTCCAAATTGTTGAGGGGGCAGGAATGTTGCTTGTAAAAATGGGACTACCGGGGAGAAAAACAAGCCTTGTTACTTAGTATGCGGCAAAGAAGTGAAGATCCAGGAGAAACTAACCAATTAACCAAAGTAACTTGGTATCACTGAGGAAAATACCAGTAGATTGTTTACTGAAGTTCTTTTTTTGGGAGTTTTGTAATGTTTCTTACCATGCTATACAGCCTGCCTGGAAAACTGTCTTAGTAATAACAAACTAAAAAGGTTTGCAAAGTTGTTGTTAAAAAAACCCATTCGACGATTTAGTATTACCCGGTACTTTAAATGTCTTCATAATGCAGCAAAATAAAATAAATTGAGGTAAAAAATTAATGAGCAAATTTGGAGCCCTACATGTTAAGATGGTAAAATACAGCTTTTTAATTTTTAATATATAAAACGAGACTTAATGTTTTGTCAGTTATCAGTACCAACTACAAGTTGATATTTTTCCGTCCTGGCAGTTTCTCCAGGATGGCTTTTTAAGCAACTGTCACTGAAAGTGTTGATGAAATTATATTTACATTTTCCACTATTTTTTTTTTTAGACCAAATGTTATTTCTGATGATCAACATGATAATTTCAACAAAGAAACAAGAGAACATAACAAGAGAACTCTTAGTGATTGGGGAAGAAAACAGGAGTGGCAGGGAAACAGATTAGGAACACTGGTTGCATTTTTTTGCTTCAACCCCCATTTCAATCTGAAGAACTCACACAGAAAGAAAAAGACAATTAGAAGCATTTCATGGATACAATTACTTTAGTCTTTGGCCTCAGACCTCGGAAGGAATCATTAGCGCTGAACTTTGTTTGATGTGCATGAACAGGAGTAAAGAACAGGGATGGAGTTGGTCAGTCATGAATGCTGGTTGGTGAGACGGTATGCTTGAGCTGTATGGAGAGATCCAGTAGGCTGCGTGAGCTGATACTAGTGATTCACTCAGGGACCTGGAAGATGGAAGTCCAGCTTGGATAACACAGGTTACGTGAACCTGTCCATGATTAGCAAGCATGAAGCGACAGTGGAGAGGAAAAACTCCCCATTGGGAAGAAACCTCTGGCAGAACCAGGCTAAACATGGCGGTCTTCTGCCGGACTGGTTAAGATGAGACAGGGAATGCAGTAAGAGTCCGGGAGGAATGAGACTCTGCTGAAGCTTTAGCTACGAGGGTGGAGGAGGGGCTGGAAGGGGTTGAATCAGGGCGATCTGAATCAAAGTCAGACTTAGCGCAAGCGCTGCCTGCGCTTTGGGTAGCAGACTGAGTTGTGGAATGGAGACCTTTTAAGATGAAATCTGGATGGTGATTGGGCTTTCGTGGAGGTGTGGTTCATAGCTGAGTAGCTTGTGTGAGGCGGATGAGGCTAAGTAATCAGTTTCTTGAGTTGAACTTCCGCCTAGACTCCATAAGGATGACACTGGCTAATTTAAGTTTACGAAGGTTTCTGAGCTGCTATCAAAGTGGGAGAAGTTGCAGCACTCTAAGGCTTCTCTTCTGTGCTTGGAACAGTTCGAGAAGGACTTTACTTTTTAATTTTATTTAGTAAAACACAAACGTGAGCTACAGCATCCCACCCAGAGGAGATTGGTTGAGCCAAACACTGACCGATTGTTTTAAACATCCCCAGTCGGGATGATGTTGGGAATTTTGAAATGTTAAAAACTAACTGGAGGCTGATGTGGATCTTATATTGTAAATACTTGCTGTTGCTGATGATGATCCAAAGCTAATTGTTGTCAGTTTCTGTAATTCTGAAGTCAAATAATGATCCAAAGCTAATTGTTGTTAGTTTCTGCAATTCCAAACGCAGAGCCCAACTTCATAATAATAATGCAGTTCTGAGCATTGTATTATGGGGTTCATGATTTTAACAGAAGTTTCAGAGAAATTTATGCTGTTTTTCACAACCAAATGTAGGATATTTGAGTAAAAAACAAAACTGTTACATAACTCAGAACCACCTGGTACTGTATGTCCTGCTGCATGATTTTAATGCAAAGATTACAAAAATGTTAGTAACATTAAACAAGCTAATATAGAGTTTTAATTTAAAGTGTGGAGAGCTATTTTGTTTCTAAAAGGAACATTTTACATGCATATACACTCACCGGCCACTTTATTAGGTACCCCATGCTAGTAACGAGTTGGACCCCCTTTTGCCTTCAGAACTGCCTCAATTCTTCGTGGC